TCGATCTCTTCTCACACCTCCACTGGTACGTAAACCGATTACTCTCTCAGTGCCTTCATGTATTACATATATATGTTTACATATATACATATAGAATCACATATTGATCATAGATCACGTGTTCCCAAACCTTACCAAGCTTTGCCTTCTCATATTCATGCTTTCTGAGTCGTTTATTTTTTTTGGTTAATTGTATTGTCGTTCTGTTTGATAGCTGGAAAGACTCTGTATTTGTGCAACCAAAATAGAAAAAAATTATGAGAGAATTTCGATATATATATTAGTTTTGTGCTGTATATGAATGGTTTTTTTTCAACTTAGCTAAGTCTTATAGTCGTGCTTGGTTTATTTTTGATTGCATGTTAAGTTCCTGACTGCGGATTATGAAAGATTTGAATTCTTGTTTCCCTTTTCTATAGTGGGTTCAATTTGGTTTATTCCCCGTATGTTGATTCGTTTAGCCTCAATTTTATTTCAATTTTTTTTTTGTAAGAATATATTTCTATAAAGAGGTCGTGCTGCTTATGTATGTAGATGCTTCGTTTTCTGTCGAGGTGGAGGAACTTTTAGCTATGCATTCTTTCTGGTGGATCTGTATTTTAGAATTTGTTTTGTTATACCTATTGGTGTGTCAATTTACTTTTTCTTCTGTATTTTAGTTTGCTCTTATTAGACTTATTAGAGGTAATGTAGATGAAGGAGGATGTTTTTGTGCCCCGAGCTTGCTATCTTTTGCTATATCCGCTTAAGATATGGCATACGAATTCCTCAGTCCAGTTCAGTTTCATGTCAATTTGTCGTTGGATGTTTTCCTTATTTTTACTTGTCTTATATTATTTATAGAGGCATCTAGTGCTCTGGTGGATTTGAAGCTTCTGTGTGAATAGATGCCAATTGCTAAACTTAAGGCCTCAAACACTCTGGATGCTATGAAATCAGAGGAGGGAAACGATTCCCTTGACACTATCATCAGACAAGTTGCAAAAGAGCCTTCTATTTCTTTCTCTAGGGCTGGGGATAGTCCGGTCCCGTGGATTCAACTACTTCATGCCTTAGATCAACAAGGTACCAGCAATTATTTCTTCTAAACACAAAATTTTGTTAGATTATAGAATTGGGAAACTTTTTTTTATTGAGATTTGTGATAGGCTCAGCTTAAATGCAGCTGTCTCTAATGGGGCTAAATGTCCTGAGGCTGTTTTGCTTTTCTTGGTCCTGCGAAGGCCAAAGGCTGCACTAATTTGTATATTATATGTCATAGGATGGTATTTTGGTTGCATGTGTTTGCTGACAAAGCAATGTTAATTTTGGCAGAACTTCCAGGTTGGCCCTTGCACTCTCCCATTAAAGTGCAGTTGCAAAAATGTGACAAATGTCCCCGCGAGTTTTGTTCATCCATCAACTACAGAAGACACATACGTGTGCACCATCGCCTGAAAAAGCTTGATAAGGTTTCCTTACTATTTTAAAGTGTTATGACTTTGTTCATATTGAGTTTTGTGTATTGCGACTTTCAGCATAATTTTCTTTCCAGTTTGCTCATAATGCTTAATATTTTCTTACATCGTGTAGGATTCTTCTAAAAATAGGGAGCTTCTAGGGGCATTTTGGGATAAGGTACAATTTCTTCTTTGAATTATTTATGTGAGGGCTACCTTATTTTTAATGATGCGCTCACTCATTCCATAATTTGTACTTTTTCTAGCTATCGCCAGAAGAGGCAAAAGAAGCTGCATCATTCAAGAATGTAACTTTAGAGGTATTTTCTGTTTACTTGCCTGTATGTTTGATTGCATGCTTCATAAGCTATAATTATGTTTCCATGGTATGCATGGTGCTGGTATATTAAGTGGTACTCTTTTTTGCCTCTTATGCTTAGGTTCATGAACCATGAACCAAGGTAGGACAGTAAATGTATTATTTTTCCCTCATAGATCATAGTTTTGAATTGACCATGATTTGTCTTTGCATACCTCCTCCAGTTACTTATGATCAGTTAATTTCTTATGGGCTTCATTTTTTTCAAAAGTCAGTTCATATTATTTGTGTTGGCTTCATGTTTGTTTTGCTTCTGCTTTTTTCTTTATTATAAAAAATCTGTTTTCAAAGTGCAATCGTTTGAAAGGAATAGTTTTTGAAGTAGAGATCCTAATTTAATATACTTTCTAGGAAGTTCCAGGGTCTTCAATCATAAAGGCATTGACGACACATATTCGGAAACCAGGATTTTCTTCAATGCCCCACATTTATTTGAAGGCTGGTTCTGCCCTTTTGGTAAGGCCTTATTCTTTGTTTTTGTGTATCAGCTTTTATTGTAATGAACTTACATATGGCCTGTTCTATGGATGTGATATATCTGACTCTTTTTCTTTTTTATGTCCTTATCAGGATATTGTCCAAGCTAGACCTTCCAGGTTTCCCATTTCTTCCCAGGAGTTATTTTCTATCCTTGATGATGCAAGTGAAAAGACGTTCCTATCTGGGACAGCCATGTCAATGCAAAGATATATTTTCGATGGGGAAGCTGGGAAGATTGGCCTTGAATCAAAGAACTTAGTTGCTTGTACCAGCTTCTTGGTGGAACAAAAATTGGTAACTTTTCTTGTTTTTCTTTTCCATTTATTTAACATAGTTGGTTTTACTCTATTTTATCATGTTTAAACATGTATTGATTTTGTTATCAGGTGAAAGCCTGGCATGCTGACAAGGATGCCGAAGCTTTGAGGTTACAGAAGTTGCTAGTGGAGGAAGAAGAAGCTGCTCAGAGAAGGTACACATCAAGCATTTCTTTTGGATATTCAGTGCATGTGGGTTCTTCAACTGTGTAATTTGTTTCATTTAATTTTTCGAATTTCTGTAGGCAAGCAGAGCTCATGGAAAGGAAAAGGCAGAAGAAGCTTAGGCAGAAAGAACAAAAGGCAAAGGATCAAAGACATGGGGATAAAGTCGATGTTAAAGAGAACATTGACGAAACACGGGAGGCTGAGCCACTGGTAGAAACATCTAGTCCTTCAGCAACATTTGATTCTGACACGACCAGTTCAGATGTGCAGGCTCATGATAGCTTATCTCTTGAAGCATTCCAACTTTCAACTGCTGATGAAAATGTGGATCCCGAATCTCAGACTGAATTTATCCATGGACATACTGATTCGGTGAGTGGTCCAAATGTTGAACGGCGAATGGTGCAAGGAAGTGGTTGTCGACGTGCAGTTGTTGCCCGATGGCAGGTGTTGTCAAAATCACAGCGGGGTGTGCCTAATGGATTTCATGGAGGTCAGAGCTCTCAAACATCAAAGCTTTCATCCATACAAAATCATGGTAACCACAGGGATTCAAGGGCTGCTTCTAGTGGCAATAAAGTATGGAGTCGAAAACCTAAACCAGAATATGATGGGGGAAGTTTGAAAGCTGGAGTACAGAAGGAAGCAACTGAACCAGATCAAATTAAGAACCACGAGGTTTTGATTGGTTCCATATCGGTCAATCTTGGAAATTGTTCCCAAGAAAATGATAATCTGGCCGGAGTTGATGATGATTGCCTTTTGGAGCATCAAATTCCAAAGAACAATGCTCACGATAAAACCAATAAACCTGATTTGGTACATAGTGGCACAAATCGGTCAACAGTGAAGCTTTGGAGGCCTGTGAGCCGGCATGGAACACAGGGTCCTATGGCAATTCAGAATGGCAACAGAGCATCTGAAATTGATGTGGTAGCTGAAAAGGGCAACAGTCAAAACCCTTCCAGTGAAAATTGTCCAAGATCGTGTGTCATGGATGGCGGTAATGATGGAAATGGGAATGGCTTTACTCACCTGGATGAAACTGGAAGCTTGAGGTTCTCTAGCCGTGCGGCAAAAGATTTTCTTGCACAGAGTGAGTTCAGTTCCATTGTGTATCTTGATCTTTTGTACAGTACCCACCTAAGTTAATTAACCCTAAAATGCTATACAATAAGTAAGCATCTTGATTTGTGCAGGGTGGAAGGAAGCTATTGCGGCAGACCATGTAGAATTGGTTCTATTACAAGACTCTGAGCCTCCCAGGTGCCCAGACAATCAAAATGATGGCGAAGTAGAATCTAGTCATTCATTGAAGTTTAAACGCAGCATTCTTGGCAATGCAGAAAACCGGCTTGTAAATGTAGAGGGACTTGAGGTTCCAACTGCTGGAGCTGCTAAAGTCAAGCACAGGACGAAGCCTGAAAAGGGTTTGAAGATAAAATACATTCCCAAACAGAGCACAGTTACCTAGCGATAGAGGGGAAAGAGATGGTTTTTGTTTTTTTTTGGTTATACGATGTGCACAGTTTAGCCCAGTCATTATATTCTTAGCAGAGGGTTCCAGTTTTACCAGTGGTCTTCTGTCAGAAAATTGAAGAAAAGTTTTGGAAGATAAGTTTTGTAGTTCCGCCTTTTTTTTCTTTTGTTGTCATAGCAGATTGATTTAGTGAGATTTTGAGATTTTCTTCTTTGTTTCCTTTCTTGCTTAATTGTCAAAATTTTATGTAATAAATTTGGTTTTTTTAGTGTGAACCGTCCTTATTTATTTTTGTTGCCATATATTCTTTGTACCGTCGGCAATGTGACCGACAGACGGAATGAGTCGATTTCTGGACAAGCCTATTTGCAGAATATATTTTCTCTATATATAAAATCTAAATGAGTATGGAGGCAGTCTGGAAGTTCTACTATTATAGTTCTTTTTCGATGTGAAAATATTTAAATTCACCCAAAAAAGATCATTTAAATGTTCGACTAGGTTTATAGCTCAATTTGTTAATAGCTCTTACCCGTTCAATTTCCCGTTCTTTTGATTTCATTTCCAAAACAGTGTTCTATTACCTTCATTTTTAGATAAATTGCCGTTCTTTTGATTTCATTTCAAAAACAGTGTTCTATTTCCTTCATTTTTAGATAAATTGTTCCAAATTAACCATTAGTATACTCTACATGCAAATGAAAAGGTGTAAAAAGGAGATTATAATTGCCCTTAAAGAAAGATAAACTTATTTTCCCAAACATACAAAGGCTTTTCCAGGGAAAAGAGCTAAGGTTATGTCACACCTCTCTCTCCTCAGCAACTGGTTTGTCAACTTACACCGCATACCACCTCAAATTCCTATGTGGCTGCCACGTGTCCACTCTGCTAACAGCTGTACATGCTTCACCCGTCTTTCTTCTCCACTCTCCTCCCCTCTATATATTTCAATTCAGCTCTCTGTTTCTCTGCAATAAAACAGAGAAAAAGAAAATCCAGCTCTCATAGTTCCCAGTTAAACCATAACCAAGAAAATGGCTGCTGCAACTCACGAAGACCTTAGCCTCCAAGAAGAACAAGAACAGGAACATGAACGTGTTTTCAAACAACAAAACGACGACGTCCCAGCAAGCTCCCTGAAATACCTCAACCCAGAAAAGGGTCAAACCATGGAAACTGTACGCAAAGCTAATCTCATCTCTCTGTGGCAGCTCAATGCCCTCATAGTCATGCTTGTCTTCTCAGCCAGCGGCATGGTCAGCCTGCAAGACTTGGCCTTTGTTCTCTTCTCCATCGTCTACATCTTTATCCTCTCCAAATTCTCCTTCCCAACTATTTCCAGAGACCCATCTCAGGACACACCAGTCTTCAACCCACAAAGCAAAATGGTCAGACTTGGCCCAATCTTTGGCGCCGTCATCGGCCTCGTCCTCCCCATAGCCTATATCTTCGATGGCTTCTTGGAAAGAGATAAACAAGGCATCAGAGCGGCTGCCCCGCACGTGTTTCTTCTTGCCAGTCAAGCCTTTGTCGACGGAGTGGCTTTTTCCGACAGGTTCTCGACTCCAATTCGGGTTTTCGTGCCGGTTTTCTTTAACGCGAAGAGGATTTTCACCCTTGTGGATTGGGTCCGAAATGAATTTTCCGAAGGCTATGGTGATGATTATGGCGGTGGTTCTGCATCTGCTGCTGCAAGGAGACTGTCTCTTGGGAGATGGCTTGCCATTGCTAATTTGGTTTTCTGGACTTCGGATCTTTTTGGGTTTATGTTGCCTATTTATCTTCCTAGAGCTTTCAAGAAATATTACTCTGCAAAAACAGAGTGAACTCCAATATCAATATATCAATATATGTATTACTCTGTATGTATACGTATGTAGTCACATAAAAAAATAATATATGTATTGTATTTCGGTATTTGGTATTTGGTATTTGGACTTAAAAATACATGTTCCTGGTGTCTAATTTCAATGAGCTTGAAGAAGATAAGAACATAGGCCCAGAAAAAGAGAGATAAGGTTAACAAAAAGAGAGAGTCACACCTAAAATTCCCATGAGACTGCCACTTGTCCATCTTGGTCACTTTTTGTTCAACTCTGTCAGACTCCCTTGATCTTGTCATTTTCCCCTGTTTAATTTTATACTCAATTACACAAACATCAGTAAGAATATTTTTCTGTTTCAAATCTTCTTACTCCATTTTTATATTTAGAAGGAGCTCATAACTTTCTTTCATCTTCCTTGTGCATATGCCACACTGATTTGCCTTCTTCTGTGTATAACTTCAGCTCACATTTTGTGCAAGGAAAATCTCCCAAGTCCTACTTTCCCAGTTGACCATAACCAAGAAAACTTGTCTTACAAAGACACAAAATGTCAGGTGGGGTTGGTCCAACTTACAGTGACATTAGCCTCCCAAAAGAACAAGAACATGAACTCAAACAAAGCCAAGACCCAACTTCTTCAAAGCTCAAGAAAGCTAGGGTCCTCCCCTTTTGGCAGATCAATGCCCTGGCAGTCATCATAGTCCTATCAGCCAGTGGCATGGTAAGCCCTGGAGACTTCGCTTTCGTTCTCTTTTCCTACATCTACATCTACTTCCTCTCAAAATTTGCTTTTCCCACCCTCCCTTCTTCTAAAGATCCCCAAGCCTTTAACCCCCAAAACAAGTTTCTGAGCCTCTATGCTCTCTTGGGTGTTATCATAGGCCTTGTTCTCCCAATAGCATATATCTTTGAGGGCATTATGGAAGGTGACAAACAAGGAATTAAAGCAGCTGCTCCTCATGTTTTTCTTCTTGCCAGTCAAGTCTTTATGGATGGAGTGGTTTTCAGTGACAGGTTTTCGACTCCCATACGCGTTTTCGTGCCCGTTTTCTATAATTCTAAGAGGATTTTTACTCTTGTGGAGCGGCTTAAAAACGAGTTCTCTAAAGAAGAAGTGTATGGTGCATCTGCAACGAGACTTTACCTAGGGAGAATGCTTGCTGTTGCTAATTTGGCCTTTTGGTCCTTGAATCTTTTCGGGTTCTTGTTGCTTGTCCATCTTCCAGCAGCTTTCAAGAAATATTACTCTGCCCACAAGGAAAGCAAAGATTGAAAATGGTTCCAGTGACTTGTATCTCTATCCTTTTACTACTTCAGTTACCAGTGTTCTTCTGTCAGAAATTTGGAAGATGTTTTTGTAGTTCAGTTGATCAGTTAAAAATTAGAGTTTAGTTTCTTCTTTTTCTTAATTGTGAACAAAGTTTTTTAGTTCAATGTTGACTAGTTCTTCTCTTAGAAAGATAGTCTCCATCACTCTCACTTTTGTAATTTCAATTTGCAGGGTAATTTTCTGTTTTTTTAATAAAATTTTATTGTGGGTCCCATGATCACCACATGTACTGCAGGAAACAAACTCTGCCACACACTGAAACATAAGTGTAAATTTTGTCATGGCACCGAATTCCATGGCCTGCAAGTAGCTCAGACATATTTCCTCTGTCTAATTTGATAAGCTGAGCTTAAGAACAGCTAAGCCAATTTTGACTTAGACTAACAAAATTAGATAAAATTATGTCCACAACCTCTCTTCTTCTTACCAAGCTGTTTCCTTAATACCCTATTACACTGCCACGTATCCACCCTCCCCACCTTATGCCTAACCCTATCTTCCCTTCTCCCCATCCCTCCATCTTAAATTTCCTCTCTGAGCTTAATCACTTTTTCTTCTTCATCAAAATTTTTCATTTTCTCTCCGCAACTACTTCAACTCCGCTTCTGTGCAAGCAAATCCAACTCTCTCACTCTCTCTCTCATAACAAACAACAAAAAGCATAGAAAATGTCAGGTGGGGTTGGTCCAACTTGCAATGACATAAGCCTGCCAAAAGAACAAGAACATGAATTCAAAGAACACCATGACCCAGCTTCTTCAAAGCTCAGCCCCCGCCAAAAGCCCCCAGCCCAAAGCAAACCCGGTTTGTTCTCCTTCCGGCAGCTCAACGCCCTGGCAGTCATCGTTGTCCTCGCGGCCAGCGGCATGGTAAGCCCTACAGACTTTGCTTTCGTTCTCTTCTCCATGATCTACATCCACTTCATCTCCAAAGTTGCCTTCCCCACAACCCTCAATTCTCCTAAAGACCCTGCAGTCTTTAACCCTCAAAACAAGATTCTGCGCCTCTATGTTCTCGTGGGAGCCATCGTAGGCCTTTTGCTCCCCATAGCTTATATACTTGAGGGCATTGTGGAGGGTGACAAAGAAGGCATCAGCGCTGCTTCCCCACATGTTTTCCTTCTTGCCAGTCAAGTGTTCATGGAAGGAGTGGCTTTCACTGACAGGTTTTCGACCCCGATACGCGTTTTCGTGCCGGTTTTCTATAATTCCAGGAGGATTTTCACCATTGTGGAGTGGCTCAGAAGTGAGTTTTCCAAAGAGTATGAAGAGTATGGTGGATCTGCAAAGAGATTGTATCTTGGGAGAGGGCTTGCAATTGCTAACATGGCCTTTTGGTGCTTCAACCTTTTTGGTTTCTTATTGCCTGTTTATCTTCCTAGAGCTTTCAAGAAATATTACTCTCTGCAAAAAGTGAAAGAATATTGACCAATCAATGTACTCAAGGGCATACTTTTTTCTTTTTCTCTTTTCGTTTGTTAATGAATAAATGATCTTCATAGACAATCCTTCAGTCTTTTTCCTTATTCGTAGAGCTGCGTATGTTTGGCTGAATTAATACTAAATCTACATGGCAAAGTTATTCCAAAGGGCCCAAAAGGAATCTTCTGTATTATTATTATCAATATTATCCATGTTTTTGGCCGGTTGAAAGCTTAAGTTGTGCACACGGAACCTAATAGGTCTACCATTTATATTCGTCGCATATATATAATTGGCCTATCCAACACATGAAACGACCAAATTGTACAGAGACTTTTGAATAACCTTTATTTTGCATTTCAATTTCATTACATTAACTTAAGAACTTACAACTTCTCGTAAGACTTTCCAAAGCCAAATGGGGCCTATAAGAAATGAAAATGAAAAAGGTACATCTGTAAATTCAGCATCATTTCAAGAAAGTACAGAAGACAGCCAGCAACATTGGCTCAAGGCAAAACAGAGGAAATTAGTTCCTCTTAAACAACCAAAAAGAGAAAACAAGCACTCGAGACAACGAGGAAACTTTGCTCCTATTGTAGCCTCCGAGTTCCTTTCTTTTTTTCAAACATCTGTCTCTTTCCTTTCTTCAACATAGAAGATGCCACAGAACGAAAATTGCATTTGGTGATGGAAAAACAAACAAATATACTCACATGCCGTCAACACCAAAAACACTGCTCCCTCTTTTAAGCTTCTGCAGCAGCAAACCCCATGGGTAGCTTCTCTTCCAATCACTCGAGTTGCTGGACATTCTGATTAAATAATCCTCTCATTATCTCCTGTCCAAACCTGCATACCACCCAGTAACTCTGTCAGTCTAACTACAATCTGCACTCAACCTTCTCTCTCAGGATGAATTCCAACATACTTGTATATCTATGCGCAGAGCCATTGCCATTTATATTTATAGGTGCAAGCCTCCTCTCTTGGCCCAATGATAAAATTTCCTGCATTCTTTCTGGCCAATCTGAGTTTAATCTTCGTGCAAAATCCTCCACTTCCCTACATAAAGCATAGAACATAAAGTAAAATATGACATACGACATAAAAAAAGTCTTGCAATAATTATTAAATATCTATACATTATACTGAGTAACCAAGTGATGGGATATTACATAATAATTTCCATGGTATGTGGAAACAAGAATCAGCATAACGCATATTTTATTTGAACCCCGAAAGTTCCATACTACAGTCATAGATTTTAGTATGATCTACGAATAAACAGAAGTTTGATTCATCATCGACAAACTCTATCTGGACATTGTTGTTACCTGTCAAGCTCCTCCTTCATGGCAGGATCTAAATCATCATCAATATCACAATCATCAAACTCAAGCTTTGGTGAAAAGGTAACTGATGTAGAATCTTGCAACTTTGAAGAACTGGGAGATGGCGACTCAACATTGATAATGTCACCATCATGGTAATCAGAAGAAAGAGCATCCAAGTCCTAAAAATGTAGGCACCAACAATGAGAAATCACAAACAAATGCTGACATATGCAGGAAAATAGTCACAAGCAGACTATACACACTTAATTGTGGGGTTGGGGTGTGTGTGTGTGTGTGTGTGTGTGTGTGTGTGTGAGTGTGTGTGTGTGTGTGTGTGTGTGTGTGTGTGTGTGTGTGTGTGTGTGTGTGTGTGTGTGTGTGTGTGTGTGTGTGTGTGTGTGTGTGTGTGTGTGTGTGTGTGTGTGTGTGTGTGTGTGTGTGTGTGTGTGTGTGTGTGTGTGTGTGTGTGTGTGTGTGTGTGTGTGTGTGTGTGTGTGTGTGTGTGTGTGTGTGTGTGTGTGTGTGTGAGAGAGAGAGAGAGAGAGAGAGAGAGAGAAGTACCAACCTTATTATGGCTTCCATTTACACTGGTTGAAGAGTCTTTTGGATGATCTTTTCTTCTCCGATTTTTCTTTTTATTCTTATTGGTCTTAACCCCCTTTGACTCTGTAGAGCATATCACATTACAGCTAAGTTAGTAGATAACAAGTAACAAGATAGGTATATCAAATACAACTCTCATATTCCAAGCGATAGTATAGAATGAATGGAAAAACAATCTTGAATACTTCTTGAAGTATCAATATATGTGAACGTACTGACAGAACATAGATGCCAGTAAGCTTCTATAAAGTGGTCCTTTGGAAGCAAACTCACTTCACTAAGCAACACCACAGATGAGAATTCTATGTACTACCAATTTGAGAGCCCAACATAACATATAAATTTCTACACCGAAGGAAGAAGTCTCAAAAAGTTAAAACTCAATAT